CTGATCGATGTTTCTAACTCTCTATCCCTCTCCCTTCCTCTCTGTAAAAAAAAAAAAAAAAATCAATAAAATATATTTTTTAAAATGGCAGGTTTGCCCTGGCTGGTTTGGCTCAGTGGATAGAGCGTCGGCCTGTGGACTGAAGGGTCCCATGTTCGATTCTGGTGAAGGGCACATGCCCAGGTTGCTGGCTCCCGGCCCTGGTGGGGGCAGGAGGACATGTCGAAGGCAACCAATTGATGTCTCTTTCACATCGGTGTTTCTCTCTGTCTCTCCCCCTCCCTTCCACTCTAATGGAAAAAATATGAAGACTAAAAAATTAACAAAATAGCAAGTTTGATCCCGTGTGTGAGAGGCTACCAACTGATGTGGCTCTCTCACATCGATATTTCTCTCCTTCCCTCCCTCCTGTCTTAAAAAAATTAATGGAAAAAAATATCCTTGGGTGAGGATTAAAAAAAAGAAAAATCAATGGGGGGGAAATATAACCTCTGCTGAGGATTAACAAAAAGGAAATGAGTTTCAGGACAGTTCCGGATAAACCGATCAAGTTCAGTGTAATCCTCTTACGGCCGTGCAAGCTGCAGTACTTTTTGGAGATTTGGGGTTGTTGTTTTTTTTTTTTATTATTAGCTTTTTTTAGGGGGTGGGATTACAGATGTAAAACAATATTTACCAAATTTGAAAAATAATTCTGCAGTTTTAAGTGGTTTCAAATTAAGTCTCAGGACATTTAAACAAATATAAACCCCTTCTGTATCATGAGAATGAAAATATAAAGAGACCGCCCTAACCGGTTTGGCTCAGTGGATAGAGCGTCGGCCTGCGGACTGAAGGGTCCCAGGTTCGATTCTGATCAAGGGCATGTACCTTGGTTGTGGGCACATCCCCAGTAGGGGGTGTGCAGGAGGCAGCTGATTGATGTTTCTCTCTCACCGATGTTTCTAACTCTCTATCCCTCTTCTTTCCTCTCTGTAAAAAAATCAATAAAATACATTAAAAATATAAAGAGACCATCACGAGGTACTTGATGTTTTACAAACCTCCCTGTATGTCATGTTCTTTATAAATAACCAGATGAGTGGGCTGGGGAGGGCAGGGATTACTCTCATTCTATGGAGAATAAGAAGCTCAGAGCTGGAAGAAGATTCATTAATCGTTAAATAGATCACATAGTGACAGGACCAGCCCTCTCTGGGTCTGCCGTGCTGCTGGGCCCTGTAACCAGGCAAGAGTGACCTCAATCGTGGTCATTCTAACCGCTGGACAGAGGAGCAATCAGGTCTGAAGTAGCCAGTGGATCTGGACTGTGAGTCTGAGGCTCCTTAGATAAACTGTTTGACCTGAGCCAATATAATTAATTTTTTACAATTTACAAAAATTTAAACCATCAGAAACTTACAGACAAGTACGAGATAAGTAACTTTTTCCCCCTGAAACCACTTGAGTTCAACTTGAAGGTGAGAGTCACCCAGAAGCCAAGTCCGAGCTCTGCCCGGGCCTGGCCCACCCTGCGTTGGAGAACGTAGATCTTAGTTTGAATCTGCCTTTCTCTTCATGGTTCCCACTAGCCATACAGCCCTCCCTTCTTTTTAAATATATTTTAATTGATTTCAGAGAGAAAGGGAGAGGGAGAGAGAGAGAAACATCAATGATGAGAGAGAATCACTGATCAGCTGCCTCCTGCACACCCCACACTGGGGACCGAGCCCACAACCTGGGCATGTGCCCTGACCGGGAATCGAACTGTGACCTCCTGGTTCATAGGTGAGCCACGTCGGCCGGGCCAGCCCTCCCTTCTTCATGGACACGGATGGCTGGAGGTGGCTGGAGAGGTGCAGGGAGGAACACGACTCTCCCCATTCCCGGTGCTTGGCGTTGCTCCTGCGTTAGGTCCTGGTTCCAGTTTTGGTTGTAACGGTGAGGCCTCAGGGCCAGAGCTCCATGGTCGAGGCTGCTGCTTGCCTGGAAATTGCAGGCCCATTTCCAAATGAGCGTGCAGAACCACCACCTGGGGCTTGTCAACATGCCGATTCTCTGGCCCCTCCTCCCAGAGACTGGTTCAACAGGCTGTGCCCAGGCATCTGCCTTTCCCCCATGCACTACAGTTAGGTTTCATTTCTTCTTCTTGTCACAGGTCGCCGGAGCTCAGCTCCATAGACCCTCATCCCGGCATTCATGCCGAAGGAGCAGCCTGTCAGGACGGGCCACGGAGCTGGAATGCCAACACGCGATCTGGTGAATCTGCTCCCTGCGCAATGCTGCCATGTAGTTCTAGGCCAGTGCGTAGGAGTAAACATGTTCATTCCCAGCAGATGAGCAACATCTAAGGCCTCCAAAGAGCCTTTATTCTGCTGACTTCGTAGGGGCTTCACAGATTCTCCCTTCTTTTGATGACACAGTATGCTAGCAAACAGCACCTGCAGCCCGGCCAGCACTGCTCAGTGGTTAGCGTCGACCTATGAACCTGGAGGTCAGGGTTCGATTCCCGTTCAAGGGCACATGCCTGGGTTGCGGGCTCGATCCCCAGCAAGGGGCGTGCAGGAGGCAGCCAATCCATGATTCTCTCTCATCACTGATGTTTCTATCTCCCTTTCCCTTCCTCTCTGAAATAAAAAAATATATATTTTTTTAAAAAAAAAACACAAAACACCTGCTATGCTGTAATTGCTTGGCATCCTTTACTAACATTACAGCTCATGTTTGTGGGGCTCCTATATGCACTATGCTAAGCCCTTCGCAGTAATCTCATTTCTTCCCCGTGAGAGGCAGGGCTCCATGGGCCCTGGGCAGCCTGAAGCGTCAGGTAGCTGCTTAGCAGGCCCAGTGGCTCTCCCTCAGGGCCCCACAGCCAGCTTTCCCCCTAATCGTACTCACCCATTTATTTATTTTTGTCAATCCTCACCCGAGGATATTTTCCCATTGCTTTTTAAGGAGAGTGGAAGCGAGAGGGAAAGACAGAGAGAAACATCGATGTGAGAGAAACACATCGATTGGCTGCCTCCTGCAGGAGCCCCGACCGGGGCCTGGGCCAGGGAGGAGCCCGAAACCAAGGTACGTGCCCTTGACTGGAATCGAACCCGGGACCCTTCGGTCTACAGGCCGACGCTCTATCCACTGAGCCACACCGGCTCGAGCAAATATTGCCTCCCAAGTCTGTCTTTTGCATTTTAACCCCGATGTCTTCCATCATACAGAAACCTTGAATATTTTGTGGTAAAATCTTTCTTTTCCCTCATTACATCATTTCCCTTATTATTATAAACCTTTTAGGTTTCCTATGTTTATAACAGGCCTTCCCACACCAGAGGTTTGAAAATATCCTATATTTTCTTCAGTGGTTTTATAGTTTAGCTGTATTATTTTTTCCCTCTGGAACTAATTTTTGTGGAAACGGTGAGGTAGAGATCTAACTCACTTTCACAGATCCAGTTGTCCTAAAGCACTGCTTATTAAATAATCGATCTTTCCCCCCTAAAATACTCCTTTTATCCTAAATTCCCAAATACCTGGGTCTGTGCAGGTCCCACCAGTCCATGTGCCTGCTCCCACCCCAGGTCCCACGCGCTGAACTCACGGTCGCTTGCGTGTCCTTTGGGGAGCCCTGAAGGACAAGTGCCCGCCCCTGCCCCCTCACGGCCACCCCACGCACCCCGATTCATCAGGACTCAGACCTCTTCGTGTTCGCACACATTTACTCTTCCAAATGCACTTTAGAACCTGTCATATTCCAAAAAGTACCCCACGTCACGGGAACAGCATGAACGTACGGGCTGTGTGGAGAGAGCAGAGTCTGTCCAGGAAAATAAAGTGTGTTCATTTGGGTCAACTTACAGAATGCGGCCAACGGGTCTTCCGCTGACGCGCTTAGATTTTATAGGTCGGCCCTTCTATCGTCTACAAAGAACGACAACTGCGACTTTCTCTTCTCCGTCCTCCGCCCGCTGCCGGGCCAGCAGTGCCAGGACTTCCCTAAACAACACTGAGCCCTCGGCCAGTTTAGTTTCTGGCGTGAACCGGAACGCCTGTGGGGCTGGGCTCTTTAGAACGCCATCTCCTGTTGGTTCTGAGAGAGACCTTTACCTAGATGAGCATGTCTCTTTCTAATCTTAAAGAGTTTTAATAAGGGATAGCTTGTAAATTTTGCCAAATGTCATTTCAGCGTCTATAGAGACTATCACAGCATGTTCTCTATTCATCGAAGCTGAGATGAAGGCCGGTGAGCAGCCACAGGGCCTCGGTCACTCACACGTCCCTGGTCCCTGTGCCGGGACCGGGTTCTTCCAGAGATGCGGGGGCAGGCTGCAAGGCCTCCGCTCGCCCAGGCACAGGGCATCTTGGGGGCCGGGCTACACGCCCCCACGGCTGGAAGGGGCTGGAAGGGGCTCGCGGGGACCGTGGTGTGCAGAGGACAGGAACCAGAGAGGAGTCCGCAGGGGGGAGGGCCCCCACGCCCCTGCCACCCCCTCCCCCGCAGATCCACACACAGACCAGGCGCCCAGTCTGGGATGGGGATTTTGCATGACAGTCTCCAGGGCGTCCTCCCACCAGGGAGCACTCGGAGTGGAGCCCTCACAGCAAGCGGGAGTCCTCCTGCTCCTCCAGCGGGAGTCCTCCTGCTCCTCCACCCCCTCCTCCCGGCACCCCTCTGCGCCTGCTCGTCACCCCGGCACACGGTCCCCACACGACCATGGGATCCCCAGGACCGGCCGACCCTGGGGCTGGCGGTTTCAGCCTCCCCACCTCTTCTGATTCTCCTCCATCCCATTTTGGGAAAAGGATGGGCGCCTGGGCGGCCATTCACACCCCGAAGCCGCGGCGGGCCCTGCCCGTTCCGACCCAGGGCCTTCTGTCCCGGTCTCACTAGCGTCTGCCCTGGCCGCCCGGCACCGGGCTGTGGGTGGCCCCCGAACACAGAAGCAGCAACAATAAAGAGGAAGCGAGGGCCGAGCTCGGTCTGAGGGGCTGAGCGGGACGGGGTGCCCAGTGCGGCTGGTCCAACCCGACCTTACGTGGAGGACCTTCCCCTCCGGCCACAGGAAGGCCTAGCCCAGGCGGAGGCGGAAGGTGGCCACCTCCATGGGCTCCAGGGAGACGTCCGTGCTGTTGGAGGGCGAGGCCAGCGGGTACAGCAACGTCAGGGAGGTCGGCTGCAGGAAGCCCACGTCCAGGTCACGGAAGAGGCTCCCCAGGGCCACCTGCGCGGAGGAGAGAGGGGAGGCCGTGCTGGGTGCTGACACGCCAGGGGGGGCAGCTCTTCCTCCAGCACTCGCTGTGCCGTCAGCAGCCGTGTGCCTACGCACACGTGCGGGTCTGCCCCAGCCCCAGGCTCACCCAGATGTCAGCCCGAGCCCGACCTTGGACCCGGGGTGGGGACCGCTGCACCGAGCGGTGAGCTCTTGGGGGGCAGGGGCCATGTCCTGGTCCTCTTCTGAGGATCTGGGGCGTGGAGGCGTTTGTGGGTGCCGGCTTACACAACAAATACAGCTTGATGGCTTTTGGGTTTTTTGTGTGTGTGTTTGTTTTTTGTTAATCCTCACCCTAGGATATTTTCCCATTGGTTTTTTATTTTTAGGGAGAATAGAAAAGAGAGGGAAAGACAGAAACATCGATGTGAGAGAAACACATCGATTGGTTGCCTCCTGCACGAGCCCCGAACGGGGACCGGGCTGGGGAGGAGCCTGCAACCCAGGCATGTGCCCTTGACTGGAATTGAACCTGGGACCCTTTGGTCCGCAGGCTGATGCTCTATCCACTGAGCCACACTGGCCAGGGTGCTTTTGGATTTTAATTTCTGTGTCTGATGGGCATCTCGTCTAGAACTTGCACCACTGGGCCTCCGTAGCTTTGAAGACAAATGACAGCAGCTTCCGTTTTTCTCTCTCAAATACCCAGAGTGACACCTGCCCCCTCCCAGCTCCCCTCCAGCCCCCCGATCACTGCCTGACCTCACTGCAGTCTCACCCACCTCGCTCACGCCTCCCATTCCCAGCTGCCCCATCTCCCTACCTCCTCTCCTCAGGGGCTCCCTCCCCACACCTGGGCCCTGCTCACCTTGCCTTGACTTGTGGTGCAGTTGAAGCCCAAGTTCTTGGCCTCAAGGCCACAGTCGAAGCCTTTGCGGTGTAGGATGAGTGCGGCTTCTGCCGAGGGCAAGGTCTCATCCTGGTGACAGCACAAGGCAGTGAGGTGGGTGCTCCTTGAGCTCACAGGTGCTCCCCGGGGCTCACAGATGCTCCCCAGGGGCTCATATGTGCTCCCCGGGGCTCACAGGTGCTCCCCAGGGCTCACAGGTGCTCCCCTGGGGCTCACAGATGCTCCCTGAGCTCACAGATGCTCCCCAGAGCTCACAGATGCTCCCCCGGGGCTCACAGATGCTCCCCCGGAGCTCACAGATGCTCCCCCGGGGCTCACAGATGCTCCCCCGGGCTCACAGGTGCTCCCCGGGGCTCACAGATGCTCCCCTAAGCTCACAGGTGCTCCCCGGGGCTCACAGGTGCTCCCCGGGGCTCACAGGTGCTCCCCTGGGGCTCACAGATGCTCCCTGAGCTCACAGATGCTCCCCAGAGCTCACAGATGCTCCCCCGGGGCTCACAGATGCTCCCCTGAGCTCACAGATGCTCCCCTGAGCTCACAGATGCTCCCGGGGCTCACAGATGCTCCCCGGGGCTCACAGATGCTCCCCTGAGCTCACAGATGCTCCCGGGGCTCACAGATGCTCCCCCAGGGCTCACAGGTGCTCCCCGGGGCTCACAGGTGCTCCCCTGAGCTCACAGATGCTCCCCCGGGGCTCACAGATGCTCCCCTGAGCTCACAGGTGCTCCCCGGGGCTCACAGGTGCTCCCCGGGGCTCACAGATGCTCCCCGGGGCTCACAGGTGCTCCCCCGAGCTCACAGGTGCTCCCCGGGGCTCACAGATGCTCCCCGGGGCTCACAGCTGCTCCCCTGAGCTCACAGGTGCTCCCCGAGCTCACAGATGCTCCCCCAGGGCTCACAGCTGCTCCCTGAGCTCACAGATGCTCCCCCAGGGCTCACAGATGCTCCCGGGGCTCACAGATGCTCCTGGGGCTCACAGGTACAGCAGCACCTCTGTCCCGAAGGCGGTGGTGGGACAAAGAGGAGCCTGGGTAAGGACAGGCCATAATTTGGTCCTGAGATCCGGGGCTGAGCGGGATCCTCACCTCAGCCTGGAGCGTGCGCAGGTTGAGCAGGTGGAAGTCACAGGGCAGCGAGGAAGCCAGAGGATGAAATGAGCGCAGGCCCGGGAGCCGGGGGCTGCCGCTTGGCTACGGGCAGGGCAAGCACCGGGGCATTCAGGTACACGGAGGTCATGTGGCTGAGGAGGGACGGGTAGCTGGTGGAGTGGCCATCTGACACCTGCAAGATTGGCCCGAGATGTGGGTGAGGGGTGAGGGTGAGGATGAAATACAACCCGGCCAGTTCCTTTGGAAAGAGCTTCCCTGATGGGTCTGGGTACAAGGGGGGCCTGGCTCCAGGACCCTTCAGTGCGGCCACCTCCCATCGCACACCATTTGGAAAGGGCTCCTGGCCCGGCCGGCATGGCTCAGGGGTTGAGCGTTGACCTAGGAACCAGAAGGTCACGGTTCAATTCCCGGTCAGGCCACGTGCCCCGGTTGCAGGCTCGGCGCCCAGTGTGGGGCGTGCAGGAGGCAGCCGATCATGATTCTCTCTCATCGTTGATGTTTCTCTTCCTTCCTTTCTGAAATCAATTTAAAAAAGGCGGGGGGCTACTCACTCTCCTCTACTTTTTGTGGGGTTTTTTTGCTCTCATGACACTATTGTGAACAGCACACTCCCCTCAGCGGCACCTCCCATCACAGGTCAGATTCTCAGGGAGGACGACAGGCAGATGTGCTCTCCGCCAGGGGACACGGGCTGGTGGGGAAGGCCCTCCGAGTGCCCCTCCACGGCCACAGCAGCGCCCTGAACCTTGGCCCAGCGGCCCCCACGGCTGAGCCGACTGACACACTTGGATGGCTGACCTGGACGTCACCCTCACAGGCTGCGCTGACCTGTCCTCGGGGGCAGCGACTGTCCCTAGTCCCACCCCCTTCCACTAGCCCAGAACCCCACTTCCCTCTGCCTGGTCTCCAGTCCCACCCCTGCTGTGTCCTCACATCCAACCCGACTTCTCCCTCCCATGGCTCAGGTTCAAGCCACCAGCCTTTGCTGCTTGAATGGCTTTTCTTTTTAAAATATATATTTGTATTGGTTTCAGAGAGGAGGAGAGGGAGAGAGATGGAAACATCAATAATGAGAGAGAATCATGGACTGGCTGCCTCCCGCAGTTCCCACACTGGGGATCGAGCCTGCAACCCAGACATGTGCCCTTGGCCGGAATCGAACCCAGGACCCTTCAGTCTGTAGGCCGACACTCTATCCTCTGAGCCAAACCAGCCAGGGCTTGAATGGCCTTTCAACTGGCACCGCAGCCTCCAGTCTTTTTAAAAAAATATATTTTACTGATTTCAGAGAGGAAGGGAAAGGGAGAGGGAGAGAGAGAGAAACATCAGTGATGAGAGAGAATCATTGATCTGCTGCCTCCTGCACGCCCCACACTGGGGATCAAGCCCACAACCCGGGCATGTGCCCTGACCAGGAATCGAACCATGACCTCCTGGTTCATAGGTCGATGCTCAACCACTGAGCCACGCCGGCCGGGGTAGCTCTAATGAACTTAAACAGCCGCGTGGCTCCCACGCTGGTCAGGCAGCTCTAGTCCGAGTGGACTCACTGCTCCTCCCCATTCAGATGGGTCTTTCCCGCTGGGCCTTGGGCCGTGGGTGGAGATCAGACCCTCATGCATCAGAGCCGGGCCTGGGTGGCCCCTCCTCCAGGATGCTGTCCTTGACCCCCTCGGACCACAGCGTTCTCTGGCTCCTCAGAACCAGTGGACACACCGTCTTGTACCTGATCCTTCTACACACATGGCTTATCCCCCACGGATACCACAAATAAATTCCAAGAGCAGAGTCAGTATCTTGAGAGCTCGGGCTCTATTTGAGGACAGCCACGGCGGATGGAGGGGCGGGCTGCCCCCGCTCCAATTCCAGCCACAACTTGCTAAGGGACACTAGCTCAGCACCCACTGCCGGCCCTTCTCTCTCGGTTATGCTCCTGCTGCTAACAGACTGAGGCCCTAAACATGGTGCCAGTTTGGAGAGAAAGCCAGGCCCGGCCGGTGTGGCTCAGTGGTTGAGTGTGGACCGATGAACCAGGAGGTCATGGGTTCGATTCTCAATCAGGGCACATGCCCCGGCTGGTGGCTGGATCCCTAGTGGGGGGCGTGCAGGAGGCAGCTGATCAATGATTCTCCCTCATCATTGATGTTTCTATCCCTCTCTCCTCCCTCCCTCTCAGAAGTCAATAAAAAAATATATTTTTTAAAAAGGTATTAAAATGTAAATGTTTTTTTAAAAAGCCAGGAGATGAGAGGGACTGGGAGAGAGAGGGCTGGGGAACCAGGGGGCCAAGGGAAAGGGTTGGGGGAGGTGCAGAGAGGGAGGGGGAGGTGAGCACAGGGCACTGGAGACGGGGTGCAGGGGGAGGGGGCGCCAGGCTGCATGAGATGGAGCTTCACAGCATTAGACTGGCCGCCCCTGACCCAGGCACCAGGCTGTGCTCCCCGAGCCCTCGCTGCACCCCAGGGCCACCCCCGGGAGGCAGGCCCGGCCCTACCTCGCTGCCCAGCGTGCGCCGCTCCAGGAGGAGGCGGAAGTGGTTGCGGGTCCTCTTGTTGTCCTTGAGCCCCTGGCCCAGGCCGCGGTTGTCGTCCTGCATCAGCCGCCGGTCCAGGATCACCTCCAGCTGGCCTGCGGGCGCGAACTGTGAGTCCCGGCGGGAGCAGACAGTGACCTTGGGAAGAACCCGGCCACAGAGCCCGGGGTGGGGGTGGGGGTGGGCGGAAGCTGAGTCACCCGGGAGGGAAAGGGGCCCTGGGACCCAGAGCTGGGAGGGGGCTCCATGGAGGCCACCAGGGGCCGGGCGGGGGCAGGCCACCCCGGCAGACACGGCCCTGCCCCGTGACTCCCCAGGGGGCGGCCAGATGTCCGGGCGGGAGCAGCTGGACCGGCCGCATAAACACACGGCCAGCGCCGGCCAGCCTCCAGCAGCCGCTCCCAGGCCTAACCGGGCAGTTGACACACGCTCTCCGCGCCTGCTCCACGCGGGCACAGAGTCCTGCTCTGCCCGCCTCCCCGGGCAGGAGGGCGGCGAGAGGACAGCCAGAGGGCCAGTCGTGCAGAGGCTGGGAGGAGGGTCGTGGGGGTTGCCCAGGGGAAAAGAGACGGCGGTGACCATCTCAGAGCCGGGCTCTCTCTCTGACGTGCACTTGGGGGCGGGGCGCACTGCGAGGCTGGCGTATGGTGCTGGGGTGAGGGTTCTCCCGGCGCCTGCTTTTTAAAGAACCTCTGGAGGGTTCTCTCTCTCTCTCTCTCTCTCTCTCTCTCTCTCTCTCTCTCTCTCTCTCACACACACACACACACACACACGCGCGCGCGCGCTCACACACACACACACACACACACACACACACACACACACGGCCCTCCCGCCGATCCTCCATCCCAGCCCCGGTTCTCATGTCGGCGGTGCCGCAGTCTTCACCGAGCAATCACAGAAAGGTAGCTGAAGGCCCCAAACAGACTCCTGCACATACAACAGTCATTTCTTAGACCCTGGCTGGGCAGCTCAGTTGGTCAGAGCGTCATCCCCATGTGCCCAGGTGGTGGGTTCGATCCCCGGTCGGTCGGGGCACATACAGGAATCAATCAATGAATGCACAAGTAAGTGAAACAAAGAATCAATGTGTTTTTTTTCTTCTTTTTCTCTCTCCCCCCCTCCCCCACTTCTCAAATTAGTAAATAAAACAATCATTTCTTAGCACGCTGTTTCCCGGAAGGGCAGAGAGCACCAAGCGTGGACACAGCCCAGGGGCAGGCAGACAGACCAGAGGAAGTTCTGCAGCCGGGTGACCCTGGGGAAGGGGTCACTCTCGCAGCCCAGCCCTCACCGCCAGCCCCTGCACAGCCCGGACAGGCCTCAGCTCAGCCCTGTACAGCGGCTCCGCCGGAAGGAAGAGCTGAAGGTGCAAGCTGTTCACATCGCCCCGAGGGCACGGAGGCACCTGGGCTCACTCGCCTGGCTGCCCAGCTCCAGGCTACGGCACCTCTTGCCCTTGTTTTGATTCTTAAGAATGTCATTCTCCTTTTTAATGACCATGAGTAGGAAAATGGAACATCCTTTTCTCCTTTGCTACATAATTCATTACAACGCCGATGCACTTTTCCAACTGTCCCTCTCCCGTCCCTGGCCAGAGGGGACTGCACACCTCAGCGAGAAGCAACCTTCAGCCAGGCTGTGGTGGCTCAGTGGACTGAGCGTCGTCCCATGGACCGAGAGGTCCCGGGTTCGATTCCCAGCCAAGGCACATGCCCGGGCTGCGGGCTCGATTCCGAGTAGGGGGCGTGCAGGAGGCAGCCGATCAATGATTCTCTCTCATCACTGATGTTTCGCTCTCTCTCTCTCCCTCTCCCTTCCTCTCTGAAATCAATAAAAAATAATTCTTTTTTAAAAAAAGAGAGAATCACTGTTCAATATTCTGATGCCTCCTGAGGGGCACCCACCCCAGGCGCCTCCATCAGGGGGAGGGTGACAGTGGCGCCTGTGACTGGCAGCTACTAATGGCTCGCCCCCTCTCACACGGGGGACAGAACGGGGGTGGGGGGGGGGCGGTGATGTGAACTGGAAGGAGAGGGGGAACTGGAGAGCGGAGAGGCTGGGGGGCGGGGGGGGCAGGATGCACGTCCTCTCTTGCCCTTTGCCCCCCACGCAGCTCCCGCTCCCACTCACCGTCGTGGAGGCTGGAGACGCCCAGGGCCTGTGCCGTGTGCAGCGTGAGCCGGCTCTGGGCGTCCTGGATGTAGGCCATGACGGGCATGGGGTAGAAGTTGGCCTGCAGGGGCAGCTTCTTCAGGTACCGCCGGGGCTGCACCTGGGGGGCAGGCCAGCGGGTCAAGGGCATCCAGGCCCCGACGTGGGCCCCAGGGGGCCCCCAGTCTGAAGGGGCCCCTCCCTGGCCACTCTCGCCTGGTTCCTCTTCTCCATCAGGGCGGGCACCCCTCCTGACCTCACCCCGGTGCCTCCGACTTCCGGAAGCAAAACCCAGTCCGAGTTCTGTTCAGCGGGGTCCCCAGGCTCCCCAAGTCACCTGGAAGCCGTTGAGGTCGGTGAAGAAGGCGCCCTGGCTGTCGATGTCCGTGCGGATGCGCAGGGCCAGCTCCTTGTTGACGTAGTCCCGGATGTCCACCAGCGACGACACGTCCAGCGACAGCCCCTCCACCCCTGGCACAGGGACAGAGGGAGCGTGTGAGGCTGGGCCGCGGCCGGAGAGGCGGCTGGACAGGCTGCGCCCACCCCCAGGCCGTCCCCAGTGTTCCTTCCTGGACCGCCTTTTCGCCCAGAGAATCATTTAAGCATCGTCCCTGCCTCAGAGGACCACGGGTCGGGAACAGCTGTCCCGACAGGGCCCGGGCGGGCGGAAGCGCGTGTCACAGCCCTGGGCCCACACCTGTCTGCCCTCCTCCTCCTCCTCCGCGGGCGCACCTGGCAGGTTGTAGAGCCGGACCACCTGGTGGACGTGCTCGTAGTACGCCGCCACCTCCGAGAAGAAGGGGCCTTCGGTGACGCGCAGCACGGGGGGCTCCTTGGGCACGTAGGGCTGGGAGAGAGAGCAGGTGGCACTGAGCCCCGGCACAGGGCAGAGCAGGGAGGGGCCCGCCCAGGGCCGGGCCGGGAAGGAGCTGTGCCCGGCAGGCCCCGGCCTGAGACCCTGGCTGAGTTGGGCCCAGCCCCCCGAGTGAGCTCCCCGCCTCTCAGAGGCCAGGCCCCAGCAGGCCCCACCCCGGAGGAAGGCCCAGGCCCTCCCCACTGCCCCGTCCACAGGTCTCCTGTGCCCTGGGAGCGAGGCCCCAGCCCCTGGGGTCCCGCCGTGGCCCTAAAATAGGATTTTAAAGTGTTCACTGTGACTCTTTTTGGCATCTTAACTCAATTGTAAGATCTTTGAATGTGGAGTTCATTTTATTTCTTCCATACCCATCCTTTTAAAATGGTGGAGAACCACACAGTAGATAAAGCTTTGATTAATGGATATACACTGCTGTGGCGCAGATTATTATGACCACCTGACGTTTGTAGGCAAATTA